AAAAAATAAAATAAGAATAAGAAACTCAAATAATTATAATAAAAGAAGTTAAAAAATAATTTATGTATAAAAAAGATTAAAATATACCTTGAACTTTGCTAGAAGAATCATATATACCCCTAAATAATTTTTAAGAAAATTAAAAGTCAAAAATATAAATTTAAAACTAAACTTTTCACTTCCGTTAAATGAAGGGTATATGTGAGCTCATTTTGTAACGGTAGGGGTATATGTGAGCTGTTTGTATAACGGTAAGGGTATATATGAGTCACTTTCATAACGAGGAGCATATCAGTTCCAAATGGCAAAGTTGAGGGGTATATCAGACCCTTTTCCCTTTTAAAAATAATAAATTTAACCGTATATATTAACTCCTCAAGTACAGTGTGGCCAACCGCTTATTCAAAACCTATCCACTCCCCCAACTCACCTGCCAATCGATAACTACAGAAGATATTGCTTTCTAAAATTCTCTCATCAATCTTCCCCAAAATTCATCAGTGATTGTAAAGGACACCGTCTCTTACTGTATAGCAAAAAATGGCAGGGCCTCAGTGCTGCGAGAATCCACCAGCTTTGAGCTCAAGCAGTGGACATGGATCTATTTTGGAACTTGGAGGACTCAAAACCTACGTCTCTGGTTCTTCCAATTCCAAACACGCCATTCTTCTCATCTCCGACGTTTATGGTACTAACCCTTTTAACCCTTTTGTCTTTTATGAATTTGGGCATCTGGGTTCTGCTCAATTTGCACTTTATTTCTCTTTCTTGCCCTTTTTTTTATCAGAAAAATTGAGGAATCTGTTGATCAATTTGGTACAATGGAGGACATATTTTTGAAAAATATTTGGTTGGGTTGTGGAGAAAACTAATCGGGTAGTGCTTTGTGAGTGTTAAAGGTTGATAATAATGTGTAAATGTTCAATGGAATAGTGATATACTATCGTTTTGTAGAAAGATGATTATTTGTGCCGTAGTTACGCCTTTGCTTCTTATCGTATCTTACTTAGTAAAGTAACCTTTGGTGTTAGGCGCTCGCCTTTGTTCAAAAGTGAATAAGTCATTTTCCAGTTTGATGGAAAGTGTTTTTTTTTTTTTTTTGCAAATATGTTCCGGCAATATAGGGGTAAGGTTTATCGGTAACAAAATCTCTATCTCCCAAGCTAGGGGTAAGGTCTGCTATATACTACACTCCTAGACCTTGCTTGTGGGATTACAATGAGTATGTTGTTGTTGTTTTAATCAAACACCATAAAATAACTTATTTTTGAAAAACATTGCTGTAGTTTGGTTTGAGAATCTCAAAGTTGAAGAAAATTGTAGAGTACAACAAATACCTGTTTTGGATTAGCAAGGACAAATAGATGTATATGGGAGAAGGAAAAGAACTCAGCACTTCCTTTTCAAAACTACTTCTTGTGTCCCATTATTTGTGTCATTTGCTATTTTGGTAGTTAAGCGGATTTTTCTATAACTACAAATGTTTCAATTCTAAATGTTATGAACTAGTGTATTCTCTGTGTAGTATCTAAACATGTAAATTTCATTTCAAATGTTGGATTTTAGACTGAAAATTAGATGTTTTGACCCTTGGTAATGTTGGACATCTCTCTTTTGAGCCGAAAGAAGCATATTGTGGTGTAAGGATTATTGTTATTATTTATGTCGAAGACAATCTCTTAATGTTATGAATACTTTACAGGTTATGAAGCACCAAATCTGAGGTATGCACTGCTTCTCAAGTTCAGCTTGGAGTTGTCTAATAGTACCTTCTAAAATTACTTTTTCTTTTCCACTTCACTATTGTTATTTTTTCATGGGAAAAGGTACAAGTACCCTTCTAGACTATGACCGAAAACACACCTCAACTAAACTAAGGTTCTATTACCCTATTACCCCTGAATCCATTTTTTTGTAATATTGTGCACCTTTTTGGCTTACGTGGCATCCAAATATCTCTCACGCGCCTCAATTGCGTGGAGTCACGAAGTGTGCCATGTAAGACAAAAGGTGTACAAAATTACAAAAAAAAAAAAAGTTCAGGGGTAATAGGACCTTAGTTTAGTTAAGGTGTGTCTCTGGGGCTTCTGTTTTTACGATCTTAATCTAATTATAGTAGACAGCCTACTTTCTTAATAATAAAGAGAAGTTGGGGACATAGTAAACCTCCTACTATAAGAGGATTTCGGTCATAGTCTAGGGGGTACTTGTGCCTTATTCCTTTTTTCATATATTTCTGTACTAATGTTTGCACCTTATGTATACTCTTGAATGCTTCTCTGTTGTCAACAACTTCGTTTCTTGCTTTAATGGATATAACAATATCATATACAACCACGACTACAACAACTAACAATAACATTATGGCTTGTACGAGTCCACCACGAGTCAAGGGACCAGGTCCCTTGGCAAAACTAGTACAAAAGTATTAAGATAAATGCTCAAAGTAAATGGCTCAGATGTTTACGTGGAACCTCCTTGCTCGAAGGAAGGAAAAACCACGACCTGTTACACAGGATTTCTCAAAGCTCCAAAATCTTCAACCAACTTGTAAATACAAACTCGAGTACTTACAAAGGATTAAACTATTAATCCTACACACCTTGTAACTCCTCTATTACAGGACACAAAACAATAACTCCGTTGCCTACTATATCAACTACCTCTAGCTAATATAGACTTGCACAAACACGACTTGGCTAACTCTAGCCGAAAACTCAAATTACAATGATAAGAGATGAAATGATCTGCACTCCTTTATATCATAGGAGTAGATCTACAACATGAAAGCATACAACATTAAACTCAACTAATAACTGAAGGTAATGCAACACTCGATCAGGTCCTTCGCTGCGTATGAGAGTTGTTCTTCCTTGAGAATGACTTTTGCTTTTGAATATTCTTGATTGCAAAAAACTAGTTTTAATCTTGTGATCATGTTCTCTTTACAAGAGAGACAAAAACCTAGGAGCAACGCCATTGGTTAAGGACTGCTATGCTTTCCACGCCTCTGCTGTAGTGCCCGCCAACCACTGCAGCTTTACAGCTGCACACCATTGACCTGTCCTCTGCTTGATCCCACTGTGGACCAGGTCCCTTTGCACCATAGTTTGTTAATTCATCAAAATCAAGAATACAACACTACATACCCAGTACATTCCCAGTGTAGTTCCACAAAGTGGGGTAAACCTTGGAGGTAGAGTGACTATTTTCAATAAACCTTCGGAAGTAAACGGAAGTTCTAGAAACATCAGATAATAACAAAAAAACAACAAATAGTAATAGAATAGAAACTGCAATTCTGCAATACAATGAGGTACAAGGAACAACAAATAGTAATAGAATTTGAAGGAAAAGAAACTATCGAAGCAATACTATGACTACTAATTTGAATGGACCGCTAGACAATGAACTGCTAACTACTAAACAGTCACAACTCATTTTATTTTTTTTAAGATAAAGAGTCGATGCTCTAGGGTGCTTCTATCTGTTGATAACTTTACGTTTTGCACCCTAGACACCAGAAATACAAAATACAACCACAACTCCATCAGAACCAGGGAAAAGAAAGAAAAAAGAAGAATAAGAAGAGAGAGAGAGGAGTGTGCATTACAGATTTTACCTATGTGAAAAAAAGACTCTGAATTACAGATTTCAGGCGATCCACTGCCTGATCCACTGACTGTATCTTTAATGGAAGAAGTTGGGATGATTGTTCTTCGCATTTTTTTCAGTAATTAAGCTGCATGAATTTCTATTTTATCTTGGGATGATCCCAAAACTTAACTGCTGTTATATAGGAAGCTTGCCGACAAAGTTGCAGCTGGGGGTTACTATGTGGTAGTTCCTGATTTTCTTTATGGGGATCCTTACAATCCCGAAAATAAGGAGAAGCCTATACAAGTCTGGATACAATCACATGGAACAGTATGCCTTCTGATTGATTTCTTCTTGTATATTGCCATAGATTTTGCATCAAGAATAAGAGGAGACAACACCATCATTATCAGAGTTTTCCATCCATTAACTTGATCATGCTTGGGAATTCCATTGTGCAACATTAATTTAATTGGGTTCACCGCCGTGACATTCATTTTTTCCTTTGTTCTGTTAGGATAAGGGTTTTGAAGATGCAAAGCAGGTTATTGCAGCTTTAAAAGATAAAGGCATATCTCCAATTGGAGCGGCAGGGTTTTGCTGGGGTGGTATGTTGTTCAACTTTCTCTTTTAGGATTATTCATCCCTTGCCTGCCTAGGATGTATAGGGTCAATTTCTTGTAGTTGTCTAAGATTCAGACCTTCTGTTTTCTTAACAGGCAAGGTGGTTGTTGAACTAGCCAAGTCTGACAACATTCAATCTGCAGTGCTATTGCACCCATCATTTGTCTCTGTGGATGATATTAAGGGTACGATTGTTTTTTACCAGAATCATTTGTGATCGGATTTAGCTATTACTCCTGGATTTTGTACAAGTGTGTTGCATATGGGACAAAGCATTTGATGTCTCAATGGCACTAGAATACTGGTGACTTGTTCAGTCAAGTTAGGCTCTCTCTGCGTGAGGCAGGGAGATTCAGTTTGATGTTTAGTACTCCGTCCAGATATTGCTGTTCTATCGTTCAAAGTTTAGTTTCATTCTTATATGAAAAATTATTAGTGCTTTCGATATTCCTTCGTCTTAAGTAGTATTTGCTATCAAGTGTTTTTTGAATTATGGTGAGTAAATTGAACAGCATCATTTTTTTAGATTCTTCCTATTTCCTTTTTTATCTTTATTTTTTCCCTCTCCCGTATGGAGCTGATTATGTATCTTTTGGCAGAGGTGAAGGCACCAATAGCTATTTTGGGAGGTGAAATAGATCAGCTATCTCCTCCTGAGCTTGTTAAGCAGTTTGAGGAGATTTTATCATCAAAACCTGAGGTACAGGAACACTCCTATGTTTAAAGCTTACTATTTCAGAAAGACTTATCTGTGAAATAGTACACACCTGTTTATTTGGTGGATGTATTGAGATAAGTGGATACCTACTTTAATGAATTTCTTAGAGAGTTTTAGATTTATCCTTTCCATTTCTTTTATTGCCATCCATCAAAATAGGTGGACAGATTTGTGAAAATTTATCCTGGTGTTTCCCATGGATGGACTGTTCGATACAATGTGGAAGACAAGAAGGCTGTGCAGAGTGCTGAAGAAGCTCATCAGGATATGTTGGACTGGTTTACCAAGCATGTGAAGTGAGTGGAAAGAACCCTAGCAGTTGAAAAATTAGCCATGATAATATAGTTATGGAGCTCATTATGGATAAAAACCCTGTATTGTACTTCATCAAAAAATAAAAACCCTGTATTGCATCTTTTATTTAAAGAAGATTTATCTTGCTATGTTTATGTGGAATGTACTGTATATCTGAAGTTTTTTCTTATGCATTTTGCCTGAGAATATAAGCAATATACATTTCTGGTACTGGACGTTGTGTATCTTGCATGTACTTTCTCTAGGAAAAGGCATTATTCCTGGTAGTAAGGTGGGAGACTGCATACCACCAAAGGATGTGGTGCAGTCTCAGGTTCGAGCTTACGGAAAAATCTTTGGTAGGGAGTGCTTCCCTCGAATGAGGTCCTATGCAAGAATTCGGATTAGTCGGGCTCTAATGCAGGTACTGGCTATGGGAAACCAAAAAAAAGGAAGTATCAAACATCAAGGACAATCTAATATTTGAGTATCTCAGAGATAATTCACTAAAAGAAGGCAATTACTCATGTTATGCAGAGGAAGTGGTGAAATTCCTTGAGCTAATATATCCTCACTTTTTTAATATTTGAGTATCTCAGAGATAATTCACTAAAAGAAGGCAATTACTCATGTTATGCAGAGGAAGTGGTGAAATTCCTTGAGCTAATATATCCTCACTTTTTTTTGGCTAAGCATAAATAATCAAGACTCATACGATCGTAACAGTAAAAAAATAATTGACTTCGAATTTCAAACAAAGTGAAAAAACAGGGGAAAACATTTAAAGACCAATCACAAGGAGGGGACACTGTGCAAAGCATTGTCTCTTCTCCCTTTAATTGATCTTACTAGATGCGAATCCAAATTTATTGGGGACTTACGCTGAAAAAGAACAAATTGAACGCATTCATTTGTACACTAAAATATATTTTACTAAAATTTTAAATCTTTCACAGAAGATGCGAAAGTTACAGATATCAGAAATCCAAAAGAACTTTTATAAATGAATAAGTGCATTCAATTTGCAATAGAATAAATTGTATCACCAATTTAATAAAAAATAAAATTTCTCCATTTCGTTAGGGTCCCCTGTTTTCAGCTTCATGCTCCTAGGCTTCACAGGATGCCAACTCTCATTCTTCCCATCAAATTTGTAGGCTATTATTTCTTTTAATTGACTAAGTTGAGGCTCGTTTCCATGAGAATCAGTAGAATGACTTGAATTCTTCATATACAGTAATCGATTGATGAGATATATAATCATTTTGAATGATGATGATATGTTGAGTCTCCTAGCATGAAAACACCACAACAAAGCATCCACAAATGTTGGGATATTGCCTCTTGACTCTATAGTGTTGTTTCAAATGCTCCATATTGATCTCATCACAACTGTAAATATGAAGTGAAACTTGAGACCAAGAGGTAGAATTTGATAGAAATTCCATCAACTGACAAAACCACCCATCATTCAAAGAGTATTTGAGGAAATTAAGAGTTAAGTTGTTGAATTTGCTTGATTCTTTTGCAAGTTTAAGCTGCGGAATATCATCTCCTTCATACTCAAGTGATACCAAATTTGGAGCATCTACTTCAATTTTCTGAGGGTATAAAAAGAGCACATTATTGATCTTCAGGTCCCTCAAGGATTCACTTCTGCCAATGTCAACCCTTCTTGAATAAGAAAGGCCAGATAACTCTAAAGATTTCAGATTCGGATATTCAGCAATATCCAATTTTTCCAAAGAATTACTAGAATATGACAAGTGCTCAAGAGTTGGTGCTTGGATTTTTACAAACTGTTCATCACTCTCTATCGTAATGCTAAGTGACCTAATCTTTTGAAGATTCCACACCTCAATCTTTTTCCACCCATGACAATGGCGAATGATTAAATTGTCAATCAAGGGATAATTAGCGAGTAGACCCTGTAGCATGTTGTCATCTACCGTTGCATTATTTAGAGAAAGCTTTCTCAAAGAATGACAAATCCCCACATGACTAGTAGGTAATGAAGAAAAATACACCAGATTACAATTCCTCAGCACCAGTTCTCGTAAATATTTTTCTGTCAGCATTTTAAAAATATTGAAGGATGAATGATATTCTAAATTTCTATAGACTGGTTCTCTTACACCCTTCTGAAGAGCAATGTCAAGCTACTTATCCATCGAAAAGTAAAGATAACCCGTAGGTGTTGCAATGTCCATGAAAAGTTCAAACTTGTCTATAGGAATTTTCTCATCTCTGTATCTCTTCATAATTTTATCCACTATATCGGTGTCAATTTTACCCCTCCTCCTCCGCCCCTGAACAAGCTACGAATAACAAGTTAGGATTAATCAACCAAGCTCGTAGCCATGTTCTGGAGAGAATTGTCATCTGTGATGCTTCCACATAATTAAGATTCGAGAGTATTTTGTGATTAACAAGTTCAGGCAATATATCAGCTGTTGGTTGATATTTACTATAATTCTTCTTCTTCTTATTATTGTACCTTTAAAACCCCTTTTTTTATTCCGATTTTGCTGCAGAAGTCGCTAATCAGCTTTTCATCTACATTCTGCAATGTTCACCCGATTCTTTCCCCGAATTCAAACATTCTTTCGTTATGATAATTTCCTTCTGCTCTGTTCATGGTTGTGACTGGGAGTTTATATGTTTTAATTTGGTAAAAATATGTCACGCTAAAATAAAACCTTTAAGTTTAAACTATTTAAAGCCTATTACAGGTAAACAGAGTTATAATCCTAATTAAATTCTGATATAATATTTACATGTAGTGTCCAAGTTACATTATACTACTAATTTCCTTATTTAAAATTTAAAATTTATAAAATGACTATACTTGAGAAGTTGCTGGAAATTGGCTTTAAATATATCTGTGTTGCTGAAAAAGGGTTGTAACTTGTGGTAATTATTAGTTTTGTCCTTGAACTATTGATAACCTTAAAAACACTCTTTTAATTTACTAACTAAACTTAGATACAACCTCTATGCACTCCCGATTTGCCACCTGACATAGCAAGTGGTCTCGAACTCTTGTAGGAGCATGTGACTCTTAATAAAAAGTTGAGAGAAGTGTTGAAAACACCCTAAACTTGACAAAAATTTAAGGGTGTATTTCACTCATGTTACAAGATCGGGGTGCATTTAAGTTTAGTTAGTCAAGTAAGAGGGTATTTTTAAGACTGTCAATAGTTTGGAGATGAAACTAATTATTTGGGTCAAGTTTTAGGATGTTTTCAATACTTCTTTCTTTGAATTATGTAAACTATTATGTATAAATTGATGAATATGTAGCATAGAAACCTCTAAGAAAAAAATCAACATTCTAATGGAAGAAAGCAACTGAGGACAAAATTTTGGTCGAAAGAATGTTTGAATCTACTGAAAGACTTGAGTGGAAAGTGCAGAAGCGAGACGAAGAGCTGATTACCGAGTTTTCGAGCAAAACCGGAGTAGAAGAACAGGTTCCTAAGGCATGTATGAACAATTATATGACTATAAGGAGAGAGACAGCTGACATATTACCTGAATGTGTGATTCGCAAAATACTCTGTTTTCTTAGTTTTAAAGAAGCAGCACAACTGAGTATTCTCTCTAAAACATGGCTGCAAGCCTGGTTGACTCATCCCAATTTAAATGTCACAGTTGATTATCACGGAAACAATTTAGATATAGTGGATAATATCATGAAGAGATATAGGGACGGAATAATCCCTATAGAAAAGTTTGAATTATCACACTTTGATTCTTCCTCTCAAGGTTTTCCGTTGATTGATAAGTGGTTTGACATTGCACTTCAGAATGGTGTGAAAGATCTCGCCTTTAACGTTCCTAAATATTCATCATACCGCTTGCCTATTTTCAAAATCTTGGCAACAAAATCTTTAAAAGAATTGGTTATGTGGGGTTGTCATCTAAAGCGTGCTTCGTTATCTAGTGGTGTCGTAAACTGCAATTCTTTGAGATTACTTTCTCTGTCTTATGTTACATTAGGCGAAAAGATGCTTCAGACTCTACTTAATAGTTGTCCTTTGATTGTCAGTTTCGTATGTGATTATTGTGATGGGTTGGAAAAGATTGAACTGGTCAATCTTCAGAATATCAAGTCAATTTCCATTTGGAAAGGTAGAAACCAACGTGTTAAAATTCAAGCACCAACACTTGAACACTTGTCTTATTTTAGCGTTCTGAAAGAGTCTTCTATGTTGGATATGCTTGATGTTCCAAATTTGGTGTCACTAGAGTATAAGGGAGATCAAATTCCTGAGACTTTCGTGGATGCTAATTTTCAATGGAGTTGTTATCCTAAGAGACTCATCCTTGAGTCAACTAGTAAAACAATTGCATCTTTTATGGACCGTTTAATGTATATGAAGAGTCTGAGTCATTCTACTCCTAATGGAAGCAAGTCTTTGCATAGTCAATTAAAAGACGTAAAAGTCTACAAATTAGATTTGAGTGGGCAGCTTGTTGAGTTCAGAAGTGAGGAGCGGGCAACAAGGATCCTTAAGGAGGGGGAGAAATTTTATTTTACGTTAGAGTGGTGATGTAGTTCATTCTATTTCTATGTGCAAATTGAATGCACATATACTTGTATGTGTGCTTGGGAGTCGCTGATGGTTTATTAGTTTTTTCTGTTTACATGTTTTAAGTTTCGAGTCCTTCGACTACTTTACTTTTGTTCCAGTACTACTATGTAATAGTTTGCCCTTTCAATAAAAATTCCCCAGTTTGTTAGTCTTTTTTACTTATAGATGTCGTTCGACAGATGTTTTGGTAAGTCATATGTGCCCTTTCCTCGAGGCCGTTTCCAGTCCCCATTTTGAATTATCCCATTCACAGTAGAGTTCTGAGTAAGACCTGTCTATGGGGACTTATGTACAAAAGTTGTTGCACCAGTTTTCGTTCCACAATTACGTGATGATGCCAACACTGGTTTTCTTTTAACGAACTTTCTTAACATTCTATTTCATGGGTGTCTCAGAAAGACAATCTCCCCTCCCTATCACCTTTTAATTTGTCGTGTATTCGTCTTCATTTAACTTTATACTCTTGTTGCTGAAAATTAACGTCAGA